CTGGGACTATAGGCAGGTGCTACCACACTCTGCTAATTTTTGTATTTTTAGTAGAGATGAGGTTTCACAGTGTTGGCCAGGATGCTCTCAATCTCTTGACCTTATCATCTGCCCATGTCAGCCTCCTAAAGTGCTGGATTACAGGTGTGAGCCACTGTGCCTGGCCAAAACAATTAAATTTTTTGAGGGAGAGGATTAAAGGGTGTTGAAATGGATCCATTCAAACTTTTAAAAACTGTTTTGAAAATTATATTTTTTATTACATTGTCTTTTTGATTTTTAATCATTTTTTTCTGTGCTTCTCCTATGTAAGATTTTTCTAATGCGAAAATGTTGATCTAAATATTGATACTTTTTCCAATATGTGCTAGAAAAACTGTGTGCCAGAGCAGAGAACATACAAATTTGGTGTAAATTTGATTACACTCTGATAATAAAATACAGTCAAATTGTGCTAGGTAGTTCAGACTTTCTTGAAACTTACTGTGATAAAGTGGTTTACCTACTACAAGTCCCAGTATGCATTGCAGTTTTTGCTTAACTTCAGATTACAGCACTGCATGCTGGGACCTGTAGTTGATTTAAACAGCACGGAAAACCCTTCCCTCTTGTCTACTCCATTTTATACACAGCTTTCCAGGCTTCTAAGAACTTTCTGCTAAGTAGTTTGATTACTAATATTATTATTATTATACTGCTGAAGTTCTAAAGTGAGTCTTCAGAAACAGCCTGGTGTTTTAGTTTACATTAGATTAGTTTATTATATTTTTTATAAGCTACTGTAAGATTTACACAGAAAATGATATATTGAAAACTTGACTTAGCAGATGTAAATATTTTTATGCATGTGGTGATACTCTTTATAATCAGGGCATCATTGATTGCTAGTGTGGGCATGAGAAACCTTTTATTATCAAGCCTGATATATATGCTGTTTTTTTTTTTTTTTTTTTTTTTTTTTTTTGGGGTTTTTTTTTTTCTAAGGTTGGATGGAAGATTTTTTTGTGCCAGTATTTAATTTCATAGTTCTGTGATTCTTCTGTAATAATTGTCAACATCTTGAATATCAGTACCCTTTAACTGGAATTCCTGAAAATAAAGGTGGTTTTAGTGTAATTTTAATCCTTGAAGATGTAGTCTGAGGCAGAGAAAGAGGTGAGACTTGTTTAATAATTTATTTTTTAATTTGTAAAGTTTAAATTTCTTTTTTTTTTTTTGAGGATTCTACTTTAATTTTATTAACTAATATCAGAGGGTTGTTGCAGGGATTAATTGTTAAAATCTATGACAGTGCCTCACACAGTGTTTGCCACATAATAAGGGCTCAGTAAATGTGTAGAATTATCAGCAGCAGCAGTAGTAGTGGTTACTGTTATCTTAAAAAATAGCACGCTTCACATTTTTTTCTCTCTTTTTACAGTATAATTTGATCAGAAGCCCAGGCTGTTCTAAAAAGACCTTGAGATTTTTGGCTTATGGTGATGATGTGGCAAACTCCTTAGAATGTTTCTGCTGTGTATAAAATGTCCTTGCACCTCAGTTTCTCCCTAAGAAATACATGCCCCCAAAAGGACTATCACGCCAGTAGCTGAATTTTGAATAGTATTCAGCTCTGCTTGTCTAGTACTCGTTGCATCTATACCACAAGCCTTTGGTTGACTTCAGAAAGTTCAAAAGATAATGAAAATTTCTTTGTTTACAATGTTTGCAGTGGTAGAACATCCAAACTACTTGATTAAAGAAAAGAAGATGCTGCAAAAATGCCCCTTGCGTTACAGTGTGTGTAACCTTAGAAAAGTTCTGTTGTGTTTAGAAGCATGTACCAATATATCACTGTAGTTCCCAGTGTTACAGGATTGATGTATGAGAGCCCAGTAAGCAGCCCCAGAAAGAAGGTGTTGTTTCCAAATATCTTATGTCTTTACATTAATTTTCTCTTTTAGGACACTGACTTCTTTTAGGTTCTTGAATTTGTAGGCTATGTTTATTTGCATGACTTGTCCCTTTTGGGTGTTTGAGAAAGGAAAGGGATGCCTGGGGATAACTGGAAAATGTAAGCCTAAGTTACAATGTATATGTCTTAGTTTGAATGTATGCAGGAGCAGGGTAATACCTTTCTTACTTGCTTAGCCAGAATCTTATTCCAGCTTTTTCTCTGGCGAGAAGTTTTACAATATTGTTGTTGAGGGCTACCATGATTATTTAAGAAAATTCTGCCTTTAGTTTTATTTATTTATTTAGAGACAGAGTCTTGCTCTGTTGCCCAGGCTGGAGTGCAGTGGCTCAGCTCACTGCAGCCTCCGTCTCCCAGGTTCAAGCAATTCTCATGCGTCAGCCTCTTGAGCAGCTGGAATTACAGGCATACACCACCATGCCTGCCTAATTTTTGTATTTTTAGTAGATATGGGGTTTCACCATGTTGGCCAGGCTGATCTCTAACTCCTGGCTTCAAGTAATCTGCCCGCTTTGACCTCCCAAAGTTCTGGGATTACAGATGTGAGCCACCATACCTGGCCCAGGTAATATTTTTTAAAGTACTTTATATAGCAAACCAATCCACTGTAACAGTACTAGCCTGCTCCCTCCACATAGTTGTGATTTAAAATTTGTTAATATGTAGATTAGACATTAAAATGATTCTTTAGATGTGTCCAAAATGTATGGAATCTGGTCTGATATGCTTCCACTTTATAAACTGTTTTATTTATATTACATAAGGTTATCTTTTCAAGACCTAATATATTGAAATAAATTCAGCAGTTACAAAGGAGTTAATACGAAGAGCTAAATATAAGGAGGAAAACAGTCCCTGGTATTAATGGGCCAGTGCAGAAAATATCAGGCTTGGAGGAATTCTCATTCCATATTTTTATCATTGTGTGTACCCATGTGCTTACTGAAATACTAAAGTTGGAAATCAGGAGAGGAAATAAGGAGAGTAAAACTGGGCAGCCATGTGTATTCAGTGTAGAGACCTCTGACACACCTAAATTATTGAACAGTTTTCTTTTGTAATGAAATGTCCCAGGTCAGAATAAAGGAAACAGTTGTGATGATGTCAGAAGACTTGGCCTTAAGTATACTCCTGACACTTAGCTATGCACTCTTGGGAAATTCATCCCTGCTGGGCTTTAGTTTACCCAGTGGTAAAATGGGGATAATAATAAGGACCTGCTTCACTATGATATTAAAAGGATTAGATAAGAATATTCATGAATGTACTTTATATAACTAAATGGTATATATAAATTGAATTTTTAATCAACAATAAGGGCCTGGGTTTTAAGATATTTGTCTATGTCATGTTAATAATATTAATATAAAATTTAAATAATGAGTTAGAATCAAAAGGAACAAAAAAATTAGTGATCTACCCTGCTCCCAATAGACTAGTTCTTTTTTTTTTTCTATGTTTTGAGATGGAGTCTTGCCCTGTTGCCCTTTCGCCATCTCGGCTTACTGCAACCTCCAACTCCTAGGTTCAAATGATTCTCCTTCTTCAGCCTTCCTAAGTAACTGGGACTATAGGCGTGTGCCACCATGCATGGCTGATTTTTATATTTTCAGTAGAAACAGGGTTTCACTATGTTGGCCAGACTAGTCTCGAACTCCTGACCTCAAGTGATCCACCTGCCTCAGCCTCCCAAAGTGCTGGGATTACAGGTGTGAAACACCATGCCGGGCCCAACAGACAAGTTCTTGACATGTGTTTACATGTGTGTTTATGGTATAGTTTTTAACAATATGTACCCTGATACATTTGTGTGTATATTATAAATATCGTAAATGTATTGGTATGTTGTCATGGGAATGAAAAATTTTAATTATGAGCTTTTGTGTTAAAAATTTTTTTTTTAATTTTATTAACTATACAACTTTTATTTTTATGTGTTAATATACAAACTTATATAAATATATTTGTGTTTGGAGAAGTGACATAGTCACATTTTGGTGAAATGACATAGATTTAAATGTTTGACAAGTTGTGAACAGTTTTTGTACCTATATAAATATATTTGTGTTTGGAGAAGTGACATAGTCACATTTTGGTGAAATGACATAGATTTAAATGTTTGACAAGTTGTGAGCAGTTTTTGTACCTTAGGTTTATCTGTTGTCATTAATACTGTGTTTATTATGTATAGTGCTGAGCCTTATTGTACATAGGATCTCATTTAGTTTTAATCCTCACAGCAATATTCTAAGGATTTACTATTATTTTCCTACCTCCGTTTTACAAATAAGGAAGTAGAGGTTTCCCTGGGATCGCGTAGGTAACAAATGATACAACCTGGATTCAAGCCCAGGTTTGATTCCTGAGCCCTTGCTCTTAAATGTCCAAAATGCTATACTAAACTATGTAATTCCCATAGAAACCTAGAAATGAATTACTAAAGAAGTTTTCAGTTTACTGAAATGGCCACAGCTACAATGTATCATTTTGAGGTTGTTTCATGTTGATTTTGGTTGGGTTAGGGTGAATAGCTTGAAAATAGTCAACATTGCAATAGGATGGAAATGAAGACATTTGGGACAGTGCCTGCTTAGTTCATCCTTGTATATCCATTGCTGAGCATAGTGCATAGCATGGGGTGGGGTCTAATAGCTATTTCTTAAAGTTTGGAAGTTGGACACTTTAGCATGGTTTAAGTTATTTTAATACATTTTTTAGTAGGTACAAATGGTTTACATTCACTATTTCAGTCAGTCCTTATATAACTATCAACGTTTTAGAGTGTTAGATAAGTGTCCTTTCATGAAATATTACAAAAGCTGTGCACCTAAGTTAGAAAATCATTCTAACAATATAGATATGTATAAAGTAGGAAATTAGTCATTCCGTTCCCATCCTACTTTTAAACTTTTCCTGTGCATTTACATATGTATTTTATACACACACACACACACACACTTTTTAAAAGAAGTTTAATTATACCATAATACTCTCTCAAAGTTTACTTTTTTCCAGGTGACTATTTTAAAAACTTGTTTATTTTTTAAAATAGGGCTTATGTGGGAAGTGGGAGCAAGGCTGGAGGAAGAGAGGTGGGTAAGATTTATACATTAAGATTCCAAACCTAGTGCCCTAGATTGATTATACTTCATGCTTTAGGAAATCGTCACTGTTATTTTTAAAACTTAGAAAAAAAAAATCAATTTAAAATGACAACATTGTTTTCTGTCCTATATAAGTAATTTAGGAGACATCATTTCTGGATTAAATTATTCTAGTTTATTCTGGTAGCTACTTATAAAGAGGGCAGTTGTGTTTTCAGATAACTTTTTAAAAAACTGGTAGTCTCTCTTCTTGGTTGTTAGGACACATTTCACATTTACAGAGTAAAGTAGGCAAGATTTAGGGCAAAACTGTAAAAAAGAAAAATAAAGTAAAGTAGGATTTTAAAACCAAGATAATATAATATTTTAACTAATAGGAACTCAAACTAGTACTACTTAATCAGCATAAAGAAACTCTGTGTAGGAATGAGTCCTGGTCCTTACAACTTCATGGGAGTAGTGTCAGCTCCACCATTACCTATCCCTACTCACTTAACCACTACCAAATGCTATGCTGATAACCCAGTGTTTTTTAAAGCAGTTTAAAAAAAAGTAAGTTATTTGAGTGCTGTTTATTTTTTCTGGCTCTATATTTAGAAAGACATACTAAAGGCCTTATAATCTACATTAAATAGAAATCTTTTGATTCCAGCTTTTAGAGTTTTAACTTGTTGCTAAGATTATTAGTCATAATTCACCTTTGTAATTTTTAAATTAAAATTTTTTATTACACAGGTAATAAAAAGATTTTCATTATGGAAGTTTTTAAAAAAGTCTTTCTAATCCTACAATACACTCCTTGCATCTAAGGTGCTTTATGCTTTTTTAGATCCGCGAAGGTGCTGAAGCCTTGCCTTAAAATGCTAAGAATTGGATCTGATAAAATGTAGCAGTTTACTTAAACTATAGTATAGTCTATTTTTTTTTTTTTACAAGCCAAGTTTAGTTTTTCTCATTGGTAGCATTCGTAAATGTGCTTTTCCTTTTGAGTGGCTCAGACCATGCCCTACAGAGTATTTTATTCTTGTTCGTAAGTGTACAGAGGGCTCAGTTAATGCTACGGATGGTGAAACTGGGAGAAAAGAATTTGACTAACTTAGTGGTAGCGCCTAATTTTCCTTTTAAATTCTAGACTCAGTCATCTTGACCAGTAGTCTTTAAAGTTTTAAAAATTATGGCTACCAGTTAAATGTATGGTAGTCTGAACTAGTGTTTTATGTTTCTTACCAAACAAACAGGAAAGTTGAAATTTTTTAAAGGATGAGATTTTAAAATATAAGTTGTAGTAGTTCCTTCCCAGTAGCTCCCTTCCTCAGGGTACCCACACACACTTGGAGACAAGTGCTCAAGATAGGCCATTCTTCCTGCAGAAGAGGCAGCCGTGGGGACAGCTGAAGGACAGTTGGTAAAAGGTATGGGACTTTTAAGTTGGAGTGATCTTTTGTAGCTTTTTAATTTTAAAGAAACAGCTTTTCTTCTGTGAAAGGCGGAAAGATTGAAAGTATAGGCCTGGAGAGAGGTAAGCTTTAAAAGACAGAAATATAAACCTTATTTGTTTTCCTCAGAGTTGACCAGAAGGGAGAGGTCTGCCTGTCCTGATAGCTTCTACTCCCATTGAGATGGCAGTGCCTTTTTCTGTTGTTAGGCAGTTTATAGAACGCAGGATAGCTTGGTAAGCGTCTTCTCTGTGCCTGATGTGACGTAACATTGTGGAGTATGCAGCATGCATGTTAAGTACAAGTGGTTGTATTTGGCTTGTTGCTGCAGCATTTTTGAAGATGTCTTAAAAAGCAATTATCAGTGGATGGAGTTGGATATGTGCAAATCATTGAAATCATCATTTCTTGAAGACCAAACTTTGTAACTTGAATTATTCTATTTAGTATTTATTTACTTCCCCCAACCCCCAACACCTCAGAGCAGAATTCTTTTCCTGAAAGGAACAGATGCTGTTAACTTATCAGGACTTGATACTAAAAAGCCTACCAAAATCTT